TGAAACTGAAAATAGTATATTATATTAATTCTTTATCAAAAATGAGCTCAGGATTGTATTATGATCTATTCTACTGTTGTTTAATGTTTCGATATATGAATCGCTTCATCAAGAAGTCTCCACAACAATGCTAACTCAAAATATTCATCGAGATTGATCATCGTTCAATTATACCATTTTCCATTTTTCAATTTTCCAGCTTATGCTCTAGCGTGGAAAAAAGTTAAATCCACACTTGTGTAGAGTCTGTATAGCCCTTAGTTATAATGTTATATTTCAATATTAGCAAGGGCCTTAATCGAAGGTGTGAAGACAATATAAGATGGCCTTTACTATAATCTTGATATATTTCGTTGCATAGAAGTGGTTTGAACTTATTTTCTCAACTTTTTCGTATTGTCAGAGATACCTAGGTACCATCTTATGAGTCCTCTACTATAGTATACATAATAAATTCCGTGGACTCGGCACGTTCTGATACGTTTTCTAGCATCTTAGTCGATAGTGTCTGTGAACCTTACATCTATTAGCAGCAAATGATACTTCGCTAAAAAGACAAGTTAAATTCGCTGAACAGTTATGCCATCTCAACTTTCATTCTATTATATTCACCGATCCCATATATTCTTATCGCTCCCCTTTACTATGAAAATTTCTAACTTGCTTATTTTAGCCTAGTATACGTGAGCCCTTTTGTTTGGACTTAATAAGACTTATTCCCACATCCTGCTGGTTTCATTATCTCTCCGGTGTACTCTAAAGGTTAATTGAACTAGGCCTTTTCAGTCAGCAATCTACTTAATCCAGGTTGGATAAGATTAGCTGATGATCAGCAAGATTCTTCTCTTCTCTCCCCAGCTATCTAATTCCACTTTGTCACTTTTACGAAATCTCTGCAACCCCTAGTGATATCTCCCCATGATCTGTTTTAAGCGCTCGATAGCACGTTTACCCTAGTATCATTAAGTGGGTCAATAAATTTTAGATTATAAAGCTGGATGAAAAACTAGCTTAATGATGTAGTCTCTCTAATCACAGTTTGGCATCTGCTTCAGATAAATCTCGTTGTCAGGACTTTACTTCACGACGCCCCTCTATGATCAAACCCGTGGAATGTAAGCCATCTGCCTCAACAGTGACTCAACACAGCTTTCCAATTGAGTTATGGTCGCACTTGCCTCTCTTCTCTATTCAAAATGCTAAATATATAATTTTTTATTCCCTAGTTAATTGAGCGCTGGCTCCCGAATCTTATAGCTATTTTATTGGTTCGACTGTGCCCGCTGCAGATATCTTCTGATTATTCCCTATTTTTATTCGGTGGCCTCTTGCGATTCTTGTTCTTTCTGTTCATATTAATTTCTTGATTTATTTGTCTCCTTTTAGCTGATCCTGCTGTTTCCAGATCTCCTCCAAGTTTTCTTAGTTTGCTTATGAATAGCATGTCAAAAGAAGCAAGACTAGGAACCTTCACAATGTCTATCTGTCACCCGAGCAAGTTACGAAAACGAAGTCATATCAGTCCAAAGCAGAATAAGTATGATAAACTTAAGAATTTGAGCATTATAATCGGAGCATTAAACAATATGTAAAAGCATTATAAAGAGTAGAACAAATTAGAATTTTGTTAAAATTGTCGAAATCATCATTAGACATTCCCACAAAAGAGGTTTTATCTGTGTCCAAATTATGCTTAGCCAAATATTACGTCCGGAATATGACTCTTGCGCGATCCGAGATTAAGGGATCAAGACTAATTGGTCAGATAAGATATCTGTTTGCAGCTTACGGGATTCCTGACCAGTTAATTTAAAAACAACATAAAAATTAGGATCATAAAGCCCTTTAGATAGGATGATAAATCTGCGATTAAGTTTGGCTCTTTTTCTAAATCAATTTAAATCCACTTCGATGAGCAGACAAAAATACAGAAAAGCGTAGATAGGAAAATTTGGTATATTATATGTAATTGAGATACAAGGATATAGTTCTAGAAGCCTATTATTTAAATGGTAGGCGAGAGGCCATATTTGTTAAATATACTAATGGTTAAGTGGACTACTTTTATTTGTAAATTTTGATAATTATAACCTTTGGCTAAGTCTGGCAACTCTTAGTGAGGAAAAGGATCAAATATTAATTACTATTTCATTACAATAGGTTCCTTATTGGAAAGTATCAAGACTGCTATTACAGGACGTAGGACTAAGTACCCTAGGCATGGTCTTCCTGCAGTGCCTTGATATTGATAATGGCTTTTCTTAATTCAATAATATTCTATTTTAGCCATTTTGTCATACTTTCATCAAGGCTAGTTTCGTTTTTATATATGTATACCAATTTGCTGTAGCGTTTTGTATTGACTGCTATTTTAAAATAAAGGAAAAAGCTTTTCTTGCTGTAGCCTTTGCAAGAAAAACTTTTAGCCCCAAAGATGTCTGTGATATGACGAGCAAAAGGTCAGCCCATTTTCAGTAGATATTGCCTACTACACCAAACTAAAAGTCTTGATATAAATTAAACGATTACAGGCATAGGTAATCACCAATCGGGTTCTGGTAAAATCAACAGCCTATGAGATACTTTATCATGAAATTAAAATCACCGCAGTAATTTTTTCTCTGGAGATTCGTTGATACCAGTTAATCTTTGTATATACTAGAGTTGATATATACGTCTAATATAAAGGAATTATGGCCTTGCGAACAGAATAAAAAGGTGATGTCAAGACACAAATGTGAGGACAAGGCATTATTCTTTTCTAGCCAGAGATGGCTCAACTTTATGCCGCTCGAATAAGTGATAATTAACAGGATTACACTTACAAAACATATAATATATGAGTTAATCGACGGGCTTTATCTCAGAAGTGATCGATTTCCACAGGTGAGGAATCCGATAATTAATCAGAATAACACAGGACTTTATCCAGAAGGTGTGAAAACAAGAGTAGTGTCCTTCATCTTTGCGTAGCTCAACGCCTTCTTGAGGCCCAGAAACCACAAGTAATTTTACTATTTTATTCACTTATTAGAAATACGAAATGTATGAAGCTGAATGATTTTTGTTTTCCTTAGATATATTGATGTTATAATACCTTTCATTTCGTTCGAAGAAGGGATTGGAAGGGATTCGTAAGTTGGTCTCACCAAAGACTTCAACCTTGAAGCTGTTATCGCAGATTTGTGCGAATAGGTCTTTGGAACATCGATTTGAGACCCCAATGAATCTATGCTGAACTTTCGTCCATCGTGGTGTGGTGCGCCTAGGACCTATTCACATAAATCTACACATATAGCTCCAAGGCAATCCTCCTATATATTCCAGTAAGACTAACTTACGAATCTCTTTTACTTACCTCTTCAAACAAAATAAAAGTTATCCTAACATCAATCTATTAAGGGATTCTTCAAGACCCAGTTTTTCTACATACCTAAGATGCATTGTTCAAATATATTTTCGTTTATGGACCAACAAACGCTTTTGATACCGTTTTTATAGTCAGATAACCATCGTATTAAGCAGAAATGTTCCACTTACATCCGCACTAATTTCATTCAGCAAATGCATACTATTTAAGGCTGCTTGAGGATAGGCTCAAAGATGTAGTGACGAAAGGCAATAAATTATGCGAAATCTATCAAATGAATAGACAAGTAACATCTTCTCTTTTCCACAGATTCCATCTTGCTGCAAGCAACCACATCCTGGAATATAAAATTATTTGAAAATTGGATTACTCGACAATTGTTGAAACATTTGAAGCTTGATTTACGCCCCGATACTGAAATGCTAGAATTCCATATAAATGAATATGTGGCATTATCATTTAACTGAAAAAGTTTGCTATCTCATCAATTTTGGTCTAAAAATTAAAATAAATATTCAACCTATCAGTTAATTTGCTAGTTCGAAATAATGATATATATTTATTGTAATATCTTATGAATATCGTTATTTTATCCATGAAGTAGTCTAGGGCGAAGATGAGAAATATTCCACGATCTAATCACGACTTATTCATTGTCGAAGTCGTTACTACCTTTTCTTTGGCCATCTAGTTGATCATATATATAGATTTAAAAAATTAGATCTCGGAATTCTATGAAGTTTCCTATGTAAAAGCATAAATATCCTTTAGTTATCAATTACTTTAATGTAAATTAGAATAATTCATACTAGTGAAGCCCAATCATCAGTAATTTCTATAACAAAATAATAGAAATTTACTAAATGGTTAATTAAATGGGTTTTTTTAATCACTAAGCTTTAACACAAATACCTTATAAATACGTTTCGACATTCTTTTTATAGGTGGGTAAGCATACAACGCATACTCTGCCACGTGTAGCAGGCAGTTTGAAATCTGTTCCTGATGCTAACTGCCCGGTTCGCGATTTATCTTCTTTCCATATTTGTGGGTTTTTTTACTATTTTATTTACAGGTATCTTCCTCGGCTTTAGATCACGAAGCATGTAGAGCATCTGGATATTCGAATCAACTTTCCTGCTCCACTTGCATCGAGTTGAAAAAATACAGACTCGCAGTTCTTCAAGAATCCTGTTTTTCCTGCTGTAAAGATGACTCTTCAGACGCTTCACTCTTAGTAAGAGCAGTAGCCTAGTTTATTTTGCAGAAATTCCCTTATGCTGAAGTAACTGTCTGCAGGTGATCACTCCGCGGCTACCCCCACCTGGCTGGTAAATTAACTTAATCCAGTTTTGTGTTGCATCCTGTAGCGCATTCAAATTCTTCAAGTTGTATTGTTATCGTATCCTTTCATCTATTTACAGATTTCTTGACTGGTAGTGCCAGGGATCGCTTTCCTAACCTAGACGTCAACTACAAGCCAGGCTCAAAGCCAACTATAAGTCTCCTTGACAGCTCGAAAGTTGTAAAAGAGACCTTCTCTATGGAAGGTTGGGACTTCGATACCATCGTTGAATTTTTGCGCGATCGCCTTGCATAGCCAATGAGGTTCCTGTGAGGAATTTACTTGAATACTTACATGAAGGTTTGCAGTCAAACTGTGCTGAGCTTCACGCCTGATGCCGTTATTCATGGATTCTCTCTTATTTGGAAGGCTCATGAACTTTGCCACCCTTAGCCCTACTTTTTAATTACCTTGTATTTTATAAGGTCTGCTCCACGTAAGCGCATACATTTTCAAAACTAAGATATTCTAGTTGATTTCTATCTAATCGTCTTGCATTAGTGTAAGAGCCTCGGGCCTTGTTCTTATATCTCTTTTTGCAATCACTCGATTTCCTAGATGTAGCCTGCATTTTACTCCAGACTCGCCATGAATTTAACTGGTATTTACCTTTTCTCAACGAAGCTTCCTCAGCCCTGAGAGGACTTACTCTCGGATGGTCTAATTAATTACATGTCCCAGGCTAATTGTAGGGGCCTTATAATTTGTTCGTTTGTAACGCCTTGTTTGTGTTGCTCTGGTGAAGAGGTCTGGTTAATTATGATGTAAATTCGCCACAAATGGGAAATCCGGCAGGTCGCAGCGTAATTACGTTTTTATACTCCATACCTACGCCCAAAAATTGTCGTGTGTGGTCGCGGTATTTTTGAATTTGGTGGCATACAACCTCGGTAGCCGAGCTGATCCTTAGTACCTCGTGATTGTTGTGCGTGTAGAGAAAGATTAGCTTGCTGAAGAGATCTTTATTATATATATTTATATTTTCTCCCTCATTACGGGAGTTTATGTGAAGATGAATGTTACAAACACTGGGGTCCGTCACCAGTCTTAAAAAAGATTTTGCATCGTTTCGTGACGACCCGTAGAGCACTATAAAAAATAACCTAGGTAAAAAAATGTAGACGAGACATCAATCAGATAAAAAGCGATGAAAATAAAAGTGGCTGTAAACGAATTGGTGGCTCTGCCGTAAAGTAGTATGCGGTCCTGTCTTTCATGCCCAATAAGCAGAAGCATGGTTGCCTGAAAGCGATCGCGAATGCATGGGGGTTTATTGTTCACTTTATACAGTCCGGAATTCGAGTGTTGGTTGAGACATTCTATTGCATTCGGAAGATGAAATTAAAATAAAGATATGCATATTCACGTGATGAATATTGCCACAAACGCAAAATTAGGTAAAAATGAAGCCAGTTAAGTCTCATTGCATTTGTCCTAGCTTTAGAAAAAAATGCAGTTGGTAGGAATATACACAGGTGGCAAGTTAGGTCGTGAGTAATTTTCTCCTTGTAGCGGTCTCGTCAAAAGAAATCAAGGCGGAGCCGCTGCACACAAGAACAGACAGACTAGAAGTAGTGTAGGAGTCAGCAGGGAAACCGGATGTGCAAGTTTGACTGGTTGAGATGACGACTTCAAAAAATACACCTACATTGGGTTACTGAGCTGTCCTCACTGCTCAGAATGGCAAAATCGAGATAAAACAGTGTATCGAGCGCCTTAGAAATTTAGAGAAAAGGGAAATACGAAAGACTATCACAAATAAAATGGTGCAGGTGCGGTGTAATGTCGGTCGCCAGTGAAGATGCGCCTGAGTAAAGTTAGTTTTCACAGTTTTGGTCCAGGTAATCGCCAATCTTCTGGCATATGTATTCGAAAGCCGGCCTCTTGTTCCCTTCCTAAAATAGGATAAGCGTAATTAAATGTTAAATCATCTATAGTGGTTATTCAGTATTTTAACTCAGAGACGGTCTTGTATTCAACTCTAAGAACTGTCCCTTTTTACTAAACTCGAAAACCTAGCATCTTCTGAGAGTAAGCAATCCAAAATTCGCAGTCTGGGTGTTTTTAGCATTTACTGGAATGCAGAATAAAGGTGTATCGGGAAAATAATATTGCAATGAAGTCAGTCAACAAGAGTGAAATGTTCAGATTCAGCATCCGCTCCATACGATTGCGCTTATTTGTAGTCAAAGCGGAACCAAGCTATGCAAAATTGTCTTCAGCTGGGAGCATTGATATGGATATTGCAGGAGGAAAGTAACAGTACCAATAATAGGTTCTATAAATTTACTCGGAAATATAAAGACCAAAATGGTATGGTCTCCTTTTGTATATAAGTTGTTTGACTTTGTTTTCACTACTATGTCATATTGATAGGAATACTTGGAGAAACGCATCTAGTCCGAAGTCTGGGAATGTACCACGTCCATAGTTCGACTCTAGAAATTATCATGCATACTATGGACTCCAGGCTAGGTGTTTGCTAAGTCTTCCTACCAATATGACCAAGTTGCGAAAACAAGGTCAAAAAACTTTTATGAAGTAAGTCGAGAAACTAAATGACAAGGTAAAATATTTCCCTCTAGACGAGCAAATACTAGTCTTTCGAAGCTCAAGTCTTCCCAGAGTATTGTACTCGGTGTGAAATTTTAAAAATCACAGAATAATAATCGATACTATATCAGATTTACAATAACAAAAAAGGTGCACAAGCCAGCAGAGGAAAGCAGAATAGAATGACACTTAAACAAGCGAAATTATGTTTTCTTGCAAAATGCAAGCGTGAGAATAATCGTAACAATCTATTGAACCAACACAAAGTTAGATTCAAATCACTGGAAATTACTAATTTTAAGATCACCGTTTGGTAGGGCAAATTTAGGGTGAGTTCATAACAAACGAACAGAGCATTATAATAATAAAGCACTTACATGTTTCCAGCATTCAAGCATGAGCACATAGAGCCGATCCGGACAGATCGCAGGTTTGTGCAACCGACCCCCGCCAAGGATATACTGATAGACCTGAGAATTGTTCATGCCATGGTATGGATGCTCTGCGCAACAGGTGAACACCTCCCACATGAGAACACCTGGAAAATAGACGTAAGGTTGTATAATTATATTAGAGACATCGACAAAAGTCATACGATCCTAAAATAAAATGGAATGGAAAAAAAGGTTATATCTTGGTCTCATCCACATATACTTACAGAATAAATAGTCGTTCTAAAGCATATTTGTTACAGTGAGCAGCTAAAATGGTAGGAGTACGAAGTAAGACTGATATTAAACTAAGTTACATAAGTTGCTCAGGTGCTACAAGTCAAATCAATCATGTACCTACGTTTGCCGTTTTGATACAACTCATTTGGTTAATGCCATAGCTAGTTTGCAGAATTGACTACATTGACGAGTACAAGAAAAAATGAGAAAGGGGCAACTGAAGTCGGTTCCGCTTAATTGTATATTAAAAAACCCAAATATGGATGACGAACAAACAGAATAATACCATAGGTGAATGTTGATTATACTACATGGATTGGTAGTCAGCGAAATAACTCAACTCATGTAAACCACAAAATAGAGATATATGATGGACGTCGGAACATTGCTTAAAAGCATCTAGGCATAAGTGCAATAAAATGTCTGAATTAATTTTAAAAAATAGCTGGCACATTACTTTAGGCCTATCATTAAGACCGCAAGTGACATGAAGTGGCCTGAAATATAGACAGGTCTGAGAAAAGAGTTAAGCCAGTATGAAGGTTCATTTTCCATTATAAAGGTAAACGTAGATTGAGCCATAACGAAAAGTATCCATGAGGTCCAATGTTCAGGGAGGTGGAGAATCGTTACAGCTAGATAAGTGTGGACATGTAGAGAGAACAAAGAAAGAGAGTACTAATTTAATGACATAGATTTTCAAAGTGATAGGATCCTCCATCAATACAATCAATCTGAAATAATTTTTCGATGAAAGAGCCTAAGCCAGTGGGGATTAAGCAATTAAAGATATTATGCAATCACAGTGTGAAGATTAATTTTTTTCAGAAATATGATTGCAGGCATAATATTTTGCATAGTCAAGTACTATTTGACAAAAATAAGAAGATATTCAAGCGGTCCAAAATTCGAGTTTTTAAAAGCCTATAATAAGTTGATACCAAAGAAATAAGCGGTATTACTTGTCTCTGATGAGTTGTAGTGTAGTGGTAAGAATAGCAAAGCTCATTGGCGATGCCGGTGAAACGTCTGGTAATGCACTACGTCCACGGTCCGATTCTGGAAATTATCAGACATACTATGGAATCCGGACTAGATATGTTACTATAAGTCTTCCTACCAGTATGACCAAGTTGCGAAAATAAGCTCAAACAACTTCTATACAATGAAAGGAGACTGTGACCACACCATCTTGGTCTTCATATATTCGATAAGGCGGTATGAAGCAGAGAATTTCTAACAGAAAATAGTTAAAAAATCCCAGTAATAGCAGGGGCTACCGAAGCTCCAGACATCCGCTTTGGCCGTGTAAGTTGACTGGAAAACCTCAGGTGGTGCCCAACGGACTGGAAACTTGGTACCGGGACTGGGCTCGTAGACGTTGTCCAATAGAAAACGGGCCATTCCAAAATCAGCTACCTTTACATGCACCGAGTTTTGACTAACTGACTTAACGAGGCAGTTTCGAGCAGCCAGATCGCGATGGACAAATTGTTCTTGCTCAAGATAAGCCATTCCATTGGCCACCTGGGCGCAAATGTCAGCCAGCACAACAGGTCGGTTGCAGTAATATGCTTGTCTATGTGGCAAGAAGTCTCGTAATGAGCCTGAAGAACATGAGTATAGGAAGAGAATAAGAATAAATAGGATAGAGGGTGGAGAATAAGTATTATAGTAAATAGATTGATAAATAAGTGGAATTAATGGATGGAAAAATAGAAAAGTACACATAAATGTGTGACCTATACACATAGAATAGACTGAGCGAGTTAAAAAACGAAACAATTGGTTATTATAATATGAATGTGAAGATGATAGATGAATTTAAAGAAGTCACTCTCATTGTGGGTAATTTCAATGGTAATCTGATAAATCTTCATTCTACAAAAGATGGGACACTAAGTATAGTTTCCAGAATTACTGTAAAAGATGTAATCAAAATCAATATAAGACATCAAATTTTAAGATGGAGGCATTAACTGTAGATAAGATGGCAAAAAATGCATAATTGTAGGCAGGGCCAAATGGAAA